TCCATGGAGGAGATGCCAGTCTCACTCTCCATGGAGGAGATGCCCATCTACTTTTCCATGAAGGAGATATCAGTCTCCTTTTCCATGAAGGAGATATCAGTCTCCTTTTCCATGAGGGAGATGCCCATCTCCTTTTCCATGCATATTTCAGTGCGAGTGTTTCCCAATATTTCCGGAGGAGGAGGAGGGTGTGGAGTTTCCACAGGCAGATCAGGAAAGCCAAGGTGAGGCAGGAGCGTTGGGAAGGACACAGGCCGGGATCACGAAGGTGGCCCAGCAGTTTCTCCTGCCTGAAGTTCCCTCAGTCAGAGTCTGGCCTGAAATGAGGATTTCCCACGACCAACAGCAACAAAGAAAGTCTCTCCTCCCCCAGAAATTACAGATTATCCTGAATCCCCTCCCTGCCAGCGCTGAGCATCTTCCATGCCAGGCCATGGAATGCTCAGAGAACAAACTGCTGCTGGTACAGCCACATCTGGCCAGCTGTTGTTTTACCAGAGAGAATCGACAGCCCTGAAGCACCACATCAGCTCGGCGCTGGCAAACAAAACAAAACTCACAGCCCTGAGTAACCATGAGAGGTTTGATCAGACACCCCCGCGACGCCCACCCCGTGGTTTGGGTGGCTCGGGGGGTGGTTTTTCCCTCTGCAAGCTGCTCGAGAGGAGTTTGTGTTGTCGATCATCCCGGCAGCCGCCCACACGCGTGGCCCTGGCTCAGCGGTCCCCCGGGGGTAGGAGGATGGTGACCTTTTGGGTCCCCACCAGCCACACTCTGTTTACCACTGGGTGACCTTAGCAGCCCCAGATCTGAGTCTGCAGCGGATCCGAGGGTGGGGAGGGACGGCTCCGGCTCCGCTGTGCGCCTCAGGCTCCATGCTGGAGCATCCCTGGTGATCCAGGGTGAGAAGGAAAAATAGACTTTAAGGCATTTAGAGATTCCTGAAGAGCTAAGATTTTAGTTAGAAATAAGCCTTACTAGAGTTAATGAAAATAATAATAATTAATGAGTAGGCCTTGATGAAATTAGGAGTTAGTAGTTAAGTAATAACTGATTGCTCGTCAGCACAATGTTTAGTTAGCTGGGTTTGTAACGAAGAATACACAAACTGACAAAGAGCTTTTAGGAACATAAGACAATTGTGGCCTCCTCTGTTCTGAAACCAACTGAAGACAAGGAATGGGAGTTCTACCAAGAGTTCATTTGTCATATTTGCATTGAAAAGGCAGAAAGGTCAGAAGGAGGAAGACTTCATTGACTTCCTCATTTTGGGACCCCTCCCCATGGAAGGGACACCGACCCATTTCAGGGAACAAACCACACATGCTGAATGGCTTTTGAAATGAGGAATGGGATGTACCAAAACGATGAATATGCATTTGTATTTTGGGTATTCAATACTTGTATGGATAAAAGGGCTCTGTAATCACCTGGAAGCTGCAGTGTGGATTTGGGAGATCCCACACACAATAAACACACACTTTCTAACTTTAAACTGTTAGAGAGTTTTTGTCCATCACAGCTGGATATCGATACTAGATCAATATCCAGATTCTTTTAATAAATCAAGGTGACAATGCTGGCGATCATCACCATCATTACAGACCAGCCCTCGCTCCCTCTGCGGAGTTAAAACCTGAAACACAGAACTGCCCCCCAGCCTTCAAGGCTCAGCTCTCTCGAGTGAATTTTAGAATTTTACCAGGCTGGCATTCCCTTCCCTGTAAGTACAATTAAGCTGTGGTTAATTAGGTGAAAAACCCTGGTGAGTTCCCCTTTTGGAAGGCCGGGGGTCCCCCGGGATGTGCAGCCCGGAGCACCTGCAGGGCTCCCGGCACATGAACCGGGGCCCGCTCGGTCACAGGGGAGAAGTCACCCGTCAGGTGACAGCACCCAGGGGACACGGTCCCGCTCCCATGGGGGCCAGCGGGGTTTTGGGGACAGGGTGTGGCTGCTCTCAGCATCACACACCCCCGAGGGAGGGTCGGGGTAGGTGTCACGGGTGCCACTACCAGGGTGGGAGGTGGTTAAATAATGTCACTGTTTGTCACAGCCCCTGCACGGGCTGCTGTGGGGTGTGGGACACTTGGGATTGAGGAGGGATGGCAGTATTTCATTGAATTCTGGAATGATTTGGGTGGGGAGGGACCTTAAAACTCAGCCATGCCACCTCCTGCCATGGGTAGGGGCACCTGCCACTACCCCAGGCTGCTCCCAGCCCTGTCCATCCTGGCCTTGGACACTTCCAGGGATCCAGGGGCAGTCACAGCTCCCCTGGGAATTCCAAGTGAGCTCCTCACCACCCTCCCAGGCAGGAATTCCTTCCCAATATCCCACCCATCCATCCACCCCTGCCCTCTGGCAATGGGAGCCATTCCCTGTGTCCTGTCCCTCCATCCCTTGTCCCCAGCTCCTCTCCAGCTCTCCTGGAGCCCCTCCAGGCCCCGTTCCAGCAGCTCCACGTCCTTCCCGTGCCCCCCAGACCTGGACCCAGCACCGCAGGTGGGGTCTCAGCTGAGAGGGGCCGGGGGGAAGCTCCATGGGCACGGAATGCCAGCAGTGATGACCCAGGTTACCCAAACACCCGGACCGGGATGGGGTTCACAAGAGGCAGATGTGTGGGATGAGGAAAAAAAGAGCGAAACCTCTCAGCTGCAGACTCCATCCAGCCCGGGCTGTAATTTAAAACCATCCGGAGCCATCCCAGGTGAGAGTCTCTCTGTTTTCCCCCCACCTCCCGTTGGGAATCTGCTCGGGATGCTCCGACCCGTTCAGCTGAGCTGTAACTGTGCCAGTCCAACCCCCACGCGGCCCTTTCCGTGCCAGTCCGGGTCTGTCTCGGTTTATTTTGGCTTAAGGCCGTTCCCAACCGAGCCGCAGTCGGTGCCTGAGCTGTCCCGCTCAGGTTTAGCGGCAGATCCTCATCGCTCAGGAGCTTTAAACCCGGCCTAAACCCCCCCACGCGGGTTTGGGGTGCTCCCGCAGCCCCAACCGCCCCGATGGGGCAGGAACCGGCCGCATTCCCGGCGGGAAGCAGGTGCCACTCGTGTCGGGAGTGGGGCAGGGGAGCGTTCCCACTCCCGTGTCACTGTCACCCTCGGGGGGCACACACCCACGCGGGTCGGCGTGAGCCGGGCGTGGGGCTGGCACTGTGGGGATGCGGAGTTTTCCAGGGCAGGGCGAGGAGGAGCTGCTTGCTCCGGAGCAGGAATTCCCCACGGGATCCTCGCCCGTGGGTGCCGATAAGGCTGAGCAAACCCGCACCCCTCCGCTACACCCGAACCGGGGGGTGTTGTTGGGTACCGGGCACAATGAAGGGTTGAGGAGGGGTCGTTTAATTTTTTTTGGGGGGGTGGGGGGTTCCTGCTTTGACCGTGGGAGCCGGACACGCAGCGTGGGCCCCGCAGCATCCCTGGGCTGCGGCTGCGGGCGCGCTCCCACCGTGGGAATGCGGTAACGGGGGAGGACACCCGTGGGACGGGGGTGCCAGCGGGACCCCCTCCTCACCCCCGCGGGTCGGGGCGGTGTTGCTCGTGGGGGTGGGGGGCTGTGGATCCCCCTCCGCGCCCCGCGCCCGCCCCGCGCCTCGGCAGCGCCGGGGGCGCCGGAACCGGCGGCCAAAGAAGGGAGCGGAGGCGGGGCCGGATCCGGGCCTTGTATGGCGCTTCCCCTCGGCCGCCCGCCCGCCGCCGCCCCGCGTCCCCCCCCGTTCCCTCCGCCGCCGCCGCCGCCGCCGCCGCCGCCGCCGCGCTCCCCCCGGGCCGCGCCGGGCCACGGGCGGGGCGGGCGGGGGATGCGCTGGAGATGGGGGGCAGCGGCTTGGGGGGCGGCGGGAGGGGTGCAGGGTGGGGTGAGAGATGGACGGAGGGGTGCAAAACAAGGAGAGTGCCCTGCAAAGGATGGGCGGTGCAAAGGGTGCAAAGGAAAAGGGGGTCTGAGGAGGGTGGGGGGCTCTGCACAGGATGGGGGGGGTCTAAGGAGGGTGGGGGGTTCTGCACAGGATGGGGGGGGTCTAAGGAGGGTGGGGGGCTCTGCACAGGATGGGGGGGGTCTAAGGAGGGTGGGGGGCTCTGCACGGGATGGGGGTGCCGTGTAAGATGTGGGGGATCTACAAAGGGTGGGGACTCTGCACAGGATGGGGGGATCTGCACAGGGTAAGGGGGGACTTCTGATGGAAGGGGGGGTCGGTCGATGGAGGGGCATCAGAGCGCTGGTTGGGGTTGTAGTGCTGGGGGGCTGCAGGAATGAGCGGCCCTGGAGAGCACGGGGGCCCTAAAGTGGATGTGGGGAGCTCTGAAGTGGATGTGGGGGGCTCTGAAATGGATGTGGGGGGCTCTGAAGTGAATGTGGGGGTCTTGAAGTGGATGTGGGGGGCTCTGAAGTGAATGTGGGGGGCCTTGAAGTGAATGTGGGGTCTCTGAAGTGGATGTGGGGGGCCTTGAAGTGAATGTGGGGGCCTCTGAAGTGGATGTGGGGGGCTCTGAAGTGAATATGGGGGGCTCTGAAGTGGATATGGGGGGCTCTGAAGTGGATGTGGGGGGCTCTGAAGTGATGTAGGGGGCCTTGAAGTGGATGTGGGGGGCCCTGAAGTGAATGTAGAGGGCCTTGAAGTGGATGTGAGGGGCTCTGAAGTGGATGTGGGGGGCTCTGAAGCGAATGGTGACCCTGAAGTTGACGGAACACACAGGCCCCTCCTCCCCCCGCGGTCACAACCAGCCCAAATCGGGGTCTGCCCCCCAGCCCCGGGAACGCTCCCCCCGCCCCGCACACAGCAGCACCCCCCGCCCACCCCGCCCCCCGCCCCGGGCGGCTCCCGGCACCGCGCACCGACCGCGCCCGGGCCCGCTGCACCTCCACAGCCCCCGGGGTGCCCGTGCCCCGCGTCCCCGCGGCGGTTGCCCGCTCCCCTCCCGCCGCAGCCCTCCCGTAGCCCGGATTTCACTCCCATGGCAAAGCCGGCCCTGCAGGAATTGGGTAAGTGGAGCTATTGCAACACAGCATTTTTCCATACATTTGCTATATAACTCGGAGGGTTTTAAAGATAGCATCAGTTGGCACACTTAGCACGAAACCACCTAATTACTGACGCCTTGGAAGTGCCAAACTTTTAAAGGGGGGAGGTGAGGTTAAAATCACAGGCGACCAACAAGTGTTACCTGTTTTTAAAGTATTCCAAGCGCTGTTCTCCACGGGAGTCGGGACATGGGGAGGGGGCGGCTCGGGGCAGAGCCATCCCTTCTGTCACCACCGCCACTACACCGAGGGGCTGGAGGCTTCTGCAGCCCCCCCACTCTGACCCTCTCCTTCCCACCAAACTCCACTGCCTGGCGCTGTGGCTTTCCCTGCGCAGCTCCCGTCCCGTTCCTGTGCCAGCCCGGGCTGCGGGATGGGGTTTGTGGCCGTTCTTGGTCTCCACTGGAGGAAAAAAAAAAAAACCTCCCGGTAAGAACCTGGCTCTGAGCAGCCCCGGAGGCGGCCGCAGGTCAGGCACGGCGGGGGCGGCCGGTGCCCGCGCCCCCGCTGCTTCCCGGGGGGAAAGATCCGGGCTGGAAGGGCTGGAGCCGCCGCCTGCCCTGCGCAGGGGGACGGCACCGCTGGGCGCGGGGGATGCGGTGCAGAGGGAGAGACCCCCGGTCCGGTGCGCTGTGCCCCGGTGCCCCGGTGCCCCGTGCAGGGTGCCCAGTGCCCGATGCACGCCCGGTACCCTGTACTCGGTGGCAAGTGCAGGATGCCCGGTGCAGGGAGCCCGGTGCCCCCGGTACAGGATGCCTGGTGCAGGGAGCCCGGTACCCCCGGTACAGGATGCCCGGTGCTTGGTGCAGGGAGCCCGGTACCCCCGGTACAGGATGCCCGGTGCTTGATGCAGGAATCCCGGTCCCCTTTATCCCGGTGCCCACTGCCCGGTGCGGGATGCCCGGTACCGGGTTGCAGCCTGCCTGGTCCCCTTTGGCCGGCGTCCGCTGCCCTGTCCCCCTTGCCCGGGGCAGCGTGCCCCGTTGCCGGACCCCCATCCCGGAATGCTGTGCCCGGTTCCCTTGGCCGGTGCAGCGTTCCCGGTTCCCCTCGGCCGGTGCCCGGTCCCCCGGCCCCGCTTCCTGCTCGCTCCGACGTTCCATTGTGCGGAGCTTCCATTGTGACGTCTCGGCCTCGGCTCGGCTTTGTCTGTCCATATATGGGCAGCTACGTCACGGAGCGCTCCCGCATAAAGGCCCCGCGGAGTCCCCGGCGGAGCAGTCGGGCGGCAGAGAAGGAACCGGCGAGCGGAGCGGGGCCGAGCGCGGGGGAAGCGGGGCCGGGAGCCGGCGAGAGAGAGAGAGAGAGCGACAGAGAGAGAGAGGAGGGGTTAAATCCTCCCCCCCCACCACCACCGCCCCCCCCCCCCCAGCTTCTACAACCACATCTGCCAGCCAGATCGCCCCCTCCCCCTCGAGGAAACACCACCAAGGGACCCACGGAGGACCGCGCCCCCCCCGCGCCCCCTCCTCCGCGGCCACCCCCAGCCCCCCCCCCGCCTCCTCCTCCTCCCCCCCGCCGCCCCCGCCCCAACTTTTCTTCTTGCATGATTTCCCTCGCACGGATTTGCCACTCGGATGTTGTTTCCTCGGGAGCCGAGCTCGGAGCCACGTTGAACCAGCCTTTTCCTCCAGTGCTATGACAGGCAAACTACTGGAGAAGCTGCCGGGGACCATGAACACTTTGATGAACCAATTGCCTGACAATCTGTACCCAGAGGAGATCCCCAACTCTTTGAATATCTTCTCCAGCACCAGCGACTCGGTGGCTCACTACAACCAGATGGCTGCAGGTAAAGCGGGAGAGAAGGAAAATGGGGAAAAGGCAGGAGCAGGGGGGAGCCGGTGGGGCGAGGAGGAGGATGCTGTGGGTGTCATGGAGCCTCGGAGGGAAGGGAAGAGCTGGGGCTGGGGAGCGTCCCCCCCCCGCACCCACCCACCCCTTTCCTCGCCGTGTCTCCGCGCGATCGCTGCAGGGCTCCGCCGAGCGCTGCCGCCGCCGAGCCGCCGCCGCAGGTACGGGCACGGCGGCCGGGCTCCGTGGGGAGGAGAACCCGGGTGGAAAAGCCGGAGGGCCGAGGGGACGAGGGGAAGGCCGGGCACCCCCCGAGTCGCGCAGGGGCCGCCCGCCCGCGCCGGGATCCGCGCGGGTGCGGAGGCGCCGCGGACGCGCGTGGCCGTGGCGGCCGCCCCCCCACACCCCGCAGCGGCGGCGGCGGCAGCGTGGGCTCCCCGGGACGCGGCGCCGACTTTCCCGGAGCGCGGGGTTGGGGAAAACGGGGTGTGGGGGGTGTGGGGGGGACAGGAGAGAGGGAGGATCTGGGGGGCACAGGTGAGCGCCGAGGGCGGCGGGGGCGGGTGCTCCCCGCGTGTCCCCGCTCCCACGCGGAGCCCCGCCAGGCTAAACCCCCCACCCCCTCCCCATCCCCGTGTTTCTCCTCGCCGGGGCTCGGCGCAGGGAAGGCGGCGAGTCGGTAGCGGCGTCGGCGGCCGCAGCCCCGGCTCCGCGGAGTGCCCAGCGCCGCCGGGGCTGGACGGGGAGGAAGCCTACCTGTAGCCGCAGGTACCTCCTTCCCCCGGCGGCGCGGCGATGGGGTGTGCCCCCCACCCACCCACCCACCCACCCAGCCCGGGCAGCTCCTCGCGGGGGCGGCGCGGGCGGCCCCGCATCGTCGGGACCCCCGGCAGGCAGCGCCGCATCCGCGGGGTGGAAGCAGCGAGGGGAAGGGGGGGAGCGAGGCGAGGGGGAACCGGTGCATCCCCGCTCCCCGGAGCATCCCCCGGAGCATCCCCCGGTGCGTCCCCGGGCCCTCCCGGCTTACCCTGCCCCGCTTCTCTCGCACTTTGCAGATAATGTTATGGACATTGGCTTAGCGAACGAAAAGGCCGGTCAGGAATTGTCCTCCTACTCGGGCACTTTTCAACCCGCCCCGGGCAACAAGACTGTCACCTACCTGGGGAAATTCGCTTTTGACTCGCCCTCCAACTGGTGCCAGGACAACATCATCAGCCTGATGAGCGCCGGCATCCTGGGGGTGCCGCCGTCCTCGGGCGCGCTCACCAGCACGCAGAGCTCGGCAGGCAGCATGGGGCCGCCGCAGGGCGAGGTGGACCAGATGTACCCCACGCTGCCGCCCTACTCCTCCTGCAGTGACCTCTACCCGGAGCCCGTCTCCTTCCACGACCCCCAGAGCAACCCTGGCCTCACCTACTCCCCCCAGGATTACCAGGCGGCCAAGCCCGCCTTGGACAGCAACCTCTTCCCCATGATCCCAGACTATAACCTCTACCACCACCCCAACGACATGGGCACCATCACGGAGCACAAACCCTTCCAGAGCTTGGACCCCATCCGCGTCAACCCGCCCCCCATAACCCCGCTGGAGACCATCAAGGCCTTCAAGGACAAGCAGATCCACCCGGGTTTCGGGGGGCTGCCGCAGCCGCCCCTCACGCTCAAGCCCATCCGACCCCGCAAGTATCCCAACCGGCCCAGCAAGACGCCGCTGCACGAGCGGCCCCACGCCTGCCCGGCCGAGGGCTGCGACCGCCGCTTCTCCCGCTCCGACGAGCTCACCCGCCACCTCCGCATCCACACGGGCCACAAGCCCTTCCAGTGCCGCATCTGCATGCGGAGCTTCAGCCGCAGCGACCACCTCACCACCCACATCCGCACCCACACCGGCGAGAAGCCCTTCGCCTGCGAGTTCTGCGGCCGCAAGTTCGCCCGCTCCGACGAGCGCAAGCGGCACGCCAAGATCCACCTCAAGCAGAAGGAGAAGAAGGCCGAGAAGGGCTCGGGCGTGCAGCCCCCCGCCGCGCCCCCCGCCGCCACCGCCACCACCTCGCCCCCCGTCGCCCTCGCCCCTGCCGTCACCACGTGCGCTTGAGGGATTGTGGCACCCCTTCTCCTCCCCTTGCCCTCGGCACCGCTCCGGGGGGAACCCCACGGTGTTCAGGATACCGGGCTTGCGCTGCGACGGGTCCGCTCTGCCCGCACCCGGATTGACCGGCTCCGGGCTGCCCGCGCCTGGATCCTGCCTGCACTTGGATCGATGGGACCCGCACCGCCCGCACCCGGATTGCCCCGGACTCGCGCTGGGTTTGCCCGCAGCACCTGGATCCCGCTGCCCGCTCCCGCAGCTTCCACATCCCGGCTGCTTCCACCCGCACCGCCCGGGGCCGGGCCGCCCGCGCTGCCCGCATCCCGCAACTCCCGCTGCCCCACACCGCACCGCCCGGGCCGGGCTGCCCGCACCCTCCTTGCCCGGCTCTCCCGGATCCCCGCTGCCGCACCTGGATTACCGGCACCGCCCGGATCCCGCCTGGATTGCCCCATCCCGGCTCGCCCGGCACCTCCCGGCTCCATCCCGGCCCGGCTCCGCGCTGCCCGGCCGGCAGATCCCGGGAATATTCCCGGCTGACCTGGATGCCGGGGCTCGGTCCGACCCGCCCGCCCTGCCCGGGGCTCTCTGCTCCACGATCGGGCACCCCGGTCCCGTCCTGCCCGGCTGCCCCGGGGCTGGGCGCTCCAGGATCCGCGAGGGGACGGACGGACGGACGGACGGATGGACGGACGGACGGATGGACGGATGGATGGACGGATGGCTGGATGGACAGATGGATGGATGGATGGACGGACTGACAGACGGATGGATGGATGGATGGATGGATGGATGGATGGATGGATGGATGGATGGATGGATGGATGGATGGATGATGGATGGATGGATGGATGGATGGATGGATGGATGGATGGATGGATGGATGGACAGATGGATGGACGGACAGACGGATGGATGATGGATGGACGGACGGATGGATGGATGGAGGGATGGATGGATGGACAGACGGATGGAAGGACGGATGGATGGATGGATGGATGGATGATGGATGGATGGACAGACGGATGGATGGATGGATGGATGGATGGATGGATGATGGATGGATGGATGGATGGATGGATGGATGGATGGATGGATGGATGGATGATAGATGGATGATAGATGGATGGATGGACGGACAGACGGATGGATGGACGGATGGATGGATGGATGGATGGACAGACGGACAGACAGACGGATGGATGATGGATAGATGGATGGATGGATGGAGCTGATCCAGCTCCTCTCCTCGCTGGGCCTGGAGCCCCCGTTGTCCCCCGTGTCCCCCCGTGTCACCAAGCACCGGCTCCCCGTGGTGGAGGTAAGAGGGCTCAGCCCCCCAAGCCAGGCTGGTGGGGCGGGGGGCGGCTCTGCGGGTCCCCCCAACTCCGGGGGGCGGCAGGGAGCGATGTCCCGGCAGCAGCTTTTGGGTTTGTTTTCTTATTTTTGTTTTCTTTTCCTTTTTATTGATTTTTTTTTCCTTTGTTTTCAGCAGAAGGGAAATTCTTTACAGAAATACAGGGAAAAAAAAAAAAAAGCACCCCAGTATTTTGCGGAATACTTTTTATAATGTGAGATATTTTTATTTTATTTTATTTGGTCACTTTAAAACAACCACCCAACTATGGAGGAGAAAAATCAATTAGTCCTCTATTTTATTATTATTTTTTTCTTTCTCCTTCTGGTATGTGCATGTCATTGCATGACTGCTCTGATTTTTTTCTTCTTTTGTTTTAATAAAACTGTGCTCAGACATTTAAGCTAAACTAAGCAAAAATAATAATGACTTAAAAAGAAAAAAAAATCTTTGTTGCCAAAAGGTCGTGCTATCCAGGTTTGATGTCTGCATGTGAAAAAAAAAACACAAAAAAACACATTAAAAACGTACAAAAAATAAAGAGAGAAGGAAGAATGCAGTCTAATTTATGTGAACTGAAAGGAACAAAAAAAAAAAAAAAAACAAACCACAATCAGGTTTAACCACACAAACCTAAGGGAATGATATTTTTTGAAAGACTTTTGTATAAAGTTGAGTACTTAGAGAAAAAAAAATCATACCAGATGTAATATATTTTGTGGATGTTTTTATTTCTTGGATTTATAGTACCTTATACTAAGGTTAAAAAAAAATTATGCTTGATATTGTGAAAAGGTGATAATTTTCACACACATTTCATTTGCTCATTTGTCATGTTGTAATGCAAATATGATAGTTAATGCATACAGCATTTTTAAGGGAAAAAATCAGAAATATTGAACTGATGTATTGTTGTACCATTTGCACTGTGAGCAAATGCTAATGCAGTAAATATATTGTGTTTGCTGACAATCAAAATCTGTAGTAAATATCTTTATTTGCTTAAATTGATCTATATTGGTTTGGAAAGTAAAAAAAAAAGGTTTTAATGTGTAAGGGGAGTGTAAAAAGGGTTGAAATGTGCAGGGAAGTGGGTGCTGTGTCTCTTTACGGGCGACTTTGAAACCTGTCTGTACAGAATTTTTTTTTCCTAGTGCTGTATTTCCTTAAATATTATTTTTTTATATGACTTTAAAAAAAAAATAACCCACTTTTTCTTCTCAGTTCCCCTCCCTCTGCTTCAGTTCTATCCACAGGACGGCACAGCACGACCCCGCTGGATGACCCCGAAGGTGACCGGCCCCGTCCTCGCGTCGTCTCTTTCCTGGGATTGGGGCACCCAACTGGGATGGGGGCACCCAACTGGGATTGGGGCACCCAACTGGGATTGGGGCACCCAAAAGAGATTGGGGCACCCAACCAGGATTGGGGCACCCAACTAAGATTGGGGCACCCAACCGGGATTGGGGCACCCAACCAGGATTGGGGTACCCAACTAGGATTGGGGCACCCAAATGAGATTGGGGCACCCAACTAGGATGGGGGCACCCAACCAAGATTGGGGCACCCAGCTGGGATGGGGGCACCCAACTGAGATTGGGGCACCCAACCAGGATGGGGGCACCCAACCAGGATTGGGGCACCCAAATGAGATTGGGGCACCCAACCAGGATTGGGGCACCCAACTGACATTGGGGCACCCAACTGACATTGGGGCACCCAACCAGGATTGGGGCACCCAAATGAGATTGGGGCACCCAACTGAGATTGGCCCAACTATGATTGGGGCACCCAACTGAGGTTGGGGCACCCAACTGGGATGGGGGCACCCAACCAGGATTGGGGCACCCAACTGACATTGGGGCACCCAACTGACATTGGGGCACCCAACCGGGATGGGGGCACCCAACTGGGATTGGGGCACCCAACTGGGATTGGGGCACCCAACCGGGATTGGGGCACCCAATTGAGGTTGGGGCACCCAACTAGGATTGGGGCACCCAACCAGGATTGGGGCACCCAACTGGGATTGGGGCACCCAACTGAGATTGGGGCACCCAACCGGGATGGGGGCACCCAACCGGGATGGGGGCACCCAGCCGGGATTGGGGCACCCAACTGGGATTGGGGCACCCAACCAAGATTGGGGCACCCAACCAGGATTGGGGAACCCAACTGGGATTGGGGCACCCAAATAAGTTTGGAGCACCCAACTGGGATTGGGGCACCCAAATAAGTTTGGAGCACCCAACTGGGATTGGGGCACCCAACTAGGATTGGGGCACCCAAATGAGATTGGGGCACCCAACCGGGATTGGGCCACCCAACCGGGATGGGGGTACCCAACCGGGATTGGGGGCACCCAACCGGGATTGGGGCACCCAACCGGGATGGGGGCACCCACCCTCTCCCCAAAAATCCGCCATGTCCTTGCTTTGACCTTGACCTCCCATCCTGTTTTTCCCGGCTCGTGCCGCCGCCGCCTTGACCCCGTCACCGTTTTGCCGGCGGCTGCCGGGATAACTTTGGGCCACCAAAGAGGATCGCGCCGCTTCAGCCGGTAATGCCCCCGCGCCCTTCACCCGCAGGGGATTTTGTTTTTTCCCAGCCTGGATTGCTCGGGATAAAAATAAATCGCTGGGTTTCAGCGCTGGCGCTCGCACGGGCACGAGGAACGAGTGGGAGAAGGAGTTTGGAGGCGTTTGGATGTTTGGAGCGGTGGCGTGTGGTGGTTGGATCCTTCCCCGGGGATGGGGATGGAGGCCTGGATCCCGGAGTCGGGATTGTGCTGGAGGATCCCAGGGGCTCTGGGGGTCCCTCGGTGCGCGCAGGTCCCGCTGTGCTGGGGTGGTGTGTGACCGGTTGGGCACCCCACCAGTGTCCTCCTTGCTGGCAGTGCCGGTGGCTGGAATTGGCACTGTGGTTTTTCCTGGTGTTCCCAGGGTGCAAAAGCGTTGGCAATGTTGTCAGAATTCCTGCTTTTTGATTTGGATCTGCAGCTGGGCCGGGAGAAGCTGCTGCTCGGGCTGTTCCAGGGCAGCTCTGCCCGTTGCAGGGGGTTTGCTGAGCTCCCTGGCTTGGAAAGGCTTTAATTTTGGGGACAGTCCAGGCTCTGATGGTGACTCAGGGCACAGCTGGCCCAGACAGGGATGGCATCTAGTGGTGTCGAGGACTTGGCTGTGGCGCTGCACCAGGTGCCTGCGTGGATTCCCGGTGGTTGAGTGTTGGTGGCTGGATTGGGATGAGCTGGGATTGTCCTTCCCTGTGTGCTCTGGAGGTCCTGCAGCCACGAGGGGCTGCGGGATGGTTTGGGAGCCATCAGTGTCCCTGAGCCATGAGGGGCTGTGGGATGGTTTGGGAGCCATCGGTGTCCCTGTGTGTCCCTGTGCCGTGAGGGGCAGTGGGATGGTTTGGGAGCCATCGGTGTCCCTGTGCCGTGAGGGACAGCGGGATGGTTTGGGAGCCATCGGTGTCCCTGTGCCGTGAGGGGCTGTGGGATGGTTTGGGAGCCATCGGTGTCCCTTTGCCGTGAGGGGCTGTGGGATGGTTTGGGAGCCATCGGTGTCCCTGTGCCATGAGGGGCTGTGGGATGGTTTGGGAGCCATCGGTGTCCCTGTGTGTCCCTGTGCCGTGAGGGGCTGTGCGATGGTTTGGGAGCCATCGGTGTCCCTGTGCCGTGAGGGGCTGTGGGATGGTTTGGGAGCCATCGGTGTCCCTGTGTGTCCCTGTGCCGTGAGGGGCTGTGGGATGGTTTGGGAGCCATCGGTGTCCCTGTGTGTCCCTGTGTGTCCCTGTGCCGTGAGGGGCTGCGGGATGGTTCTGGAGCCATCGGTGTCCCTGTGCTGTGAGGGGCTGTGGGATGGTTTGGGAGCCATCGGTGTCCCTTTGCCGTGAGGGGCTGTGGGATGGTTTGGGAGCCATCAGTGTCCCCATGTGTCCCTGTGCTGTGAGGGACAGCGGGATGGTTTGGGAGCCATCGGTGTCCCTGTGCTGTGAGGGGCTGTGGGATGGTTTGGGAGCCATCGGTGTCCCTGTGTGCGGCTCACTTGGGCAGGAACCAGAGCACAGGGAGAGCCCCCACGGCCCCCAGCTTCACCCAAGGGTGCTGTGCTGCTGCTGGTGGTGCTGGAGGTGCCCATCTCCAGCGGTGGCTCGTGCTGGAAAACGCTGGAGATCCCGGCCCGGCAGAGGAGCTGCCCCAGCGAGGAGCCACCCAACGCTGCACCAACGCTTCGGGCTCCTTCTGTGGGCCAGGAGCAGGGAAGGAGCCCACCAGGCCCTGGGGACCCTCTCTGGCAGCCTGGCCTGGGTGTCCCGCTGGGCAGGACCGCCCTGGCGCAGAGCAGGAAGGTGAGGAGCACCCTTGGGTGGCAAAGCGCGGGGAGTGCGTGCGGCACCTTGCACGAAAAATGTTGGTTGCTACGGAAACACGGCACTTTCCATCCCCGTTCTGGGCTATCTGTGTTCTGGGGAGGAGGGAAGGGCTTCCAGTCACGTACCAGCTCCACAGAACTTGCTGCCTTTGCCTCCTCAACGGGAGCGGCGGGTCCTGAGGAGGCCACCAACACCTCGCTCCTCCCTGCTGAGGGTCCTCGGGGCGTTGCAGGATGTGGTTGGATCCAAGAGCTCTCCACGGGATGGGATTTGCTGCTGAGGAGAGCACCAAGAGCTGAGGCTCCATCCCTGGGGTCGGCAGCGACGAGGACCCACAGGCAGAAGCTCCTGGTTTGCAGCTGGAGTACAGATGTTGGTGGGATCCTTCCCTGATCTTCTCAGCTCTGGCTCAGCTTCTGCCACTGCCTGGCAGGAGACACCATCCACAGAAGGCCTGGATGGTTCTGGATCATCTGCCCTCGTCTCCCACCCCGTGGGACCGTGTGGATCCATCCCCAGGCCGGACTCATCCTCCTGGGACACGGGGACAATCAGCAGAGCCTCCACAGAAGATGCTGCCCGAGTCCTGTGGCCATCAGGACGACACACCCAGGCTCGTCCCAGCCCTGCCTTGTCCCCAAGGTGACAGCGAGGGGACACCAGGGTGGGGACAGGCCCAGGAGCAGCAGCCTGGCCCAGCTGGCAGCAAAACCTTCCTCTTCCTCTTCCTCCTCACCCTGCCCACACCTGGACGGGGATGTGGGGGACCCTCCTGGCTGCCTCCTCTCCCCTCAGGGTTTGCTCTGACACCCCCCAGCACCCCAAAATCCATCCCCTGCCACAAAAGGGGAGTTTTGTGGGGTTACCACCCTCCCCCCACCCCGGTGGCCCCCCCCAGCTGCTCCTTTCGGGCTAATCCCTGTCCTCAGCGGTGTCGGGAACACCTTCCCAGTTTAGCATCCTCCTCCCTGCTGTAATTACCGCGCTGTTTACCTCCACCTGCTAATTGATAAAGCCACCCCTGGCACCCTGCCCGCCCCGTGTGCCGCCATGTGGCTGCTGCCACCACCCCGGTGGGTGGCACCGGGGCCGTTCCCACCCCTGGGATGGCACCTCGGGCTGCTGACCGGGGCTCCAGGGGCACCCTGACCTCGGGGGGCTCTGCAGCACCCCAGGGTCACGGCTGGTGGTGGCTGGTGCTGAGGACAAGGTGGGGTTTTGGTCACCAAAAGGATTTTGCCCCTCCCAGCCCTGTCCAGCCTCTTCAAGACGGGTTTGGGCCTTTCTGCCCAAAAGTGGGTTCTCCTGATCTTCCAAAGGGGGTGCACATCCCTTGGATTTCCTTGAGTGGGGCAGGAAATCCTCCCCCTGCTCTCACCCACCCCTGAATCCCGGGAATCCCTGGGAATAACCCCGGGCACCCCTCTCAGGATGGTCCCAGGCAATTCCTGACCCTCGCCCACCCCAGGGACGTTCCTGGGCATCCCCTCCCCGTGCCACTGCCCACTCCAGGGATGCTCCTGGCCATTCCATGCCACTTTCGGGATGTTCCTGGGCATCCCCTCCCCATGCCCAACCCACTCCAGGGGTGATCCAGGCAGTTCCTTATCCTCACTCAGCCCAGGGTTTTTCCAGGCAATTCCTCCTCCTCATCCACCTCAGGGGTGATCCATGAAATTCCTTCTCCTCATCCACCCCAGGGGTGATCCTTGAAATTCCTCCTCCTCATCCATCCCAGGGGTGATCCCTGAAATTCCTTCTCCTGGCCCACCCTGGGGATGTTCCAGGCAATTCTTTCTCCTGGCCCACCCTGACGTTTTTCCAGGCAATTCCTTCTCCTGGCCCACCTCAGGGGTGTTCCAGGCAATTCCTTCTCCTCACCCACCCCAGGGGTGATCCATGAAATTCCTTCTCCGGGTCCTTCCCGGGTTTATTCCAGACAATTCCTTCTCCTGGCCCACCCCAGGGATGACCCAGGCAATTCCTTCTCCTCACCCACCCCAGGGGTGATCCATGAAATTCCTTCTCCGGGTCCTTCCCGGGTTTATTCCAGACAATTCCTTCTCCTCGCCCACCCCAGGGGTAATCCGTGAAATTCCTTCTCCTGGTGCTTCCCGGGTTTATTCCATGAAATTCCTTCTCCTGGTCCTTCCCGGGTTTATCCCAGGCAATTTCCCCCCCAGGCCCTCCCCGGGGACACCCCGCGGTTTAACCCGCCCCGTTCCACCCTTTGCACCCAAACCGGGCCCATTTCGGGTTCCCCTGCCCGTGACGTCACGCCCCCGCCGTGTGACGTCACGCCCCCTTTCCCGCGTGACGTCACCGCGGCGCGCGGCCCCGGCGGTGAGCGGGGCCGGAAGGGGCGGGGCCAAAAGCGGCGGCACTTCCGGGAGCGGCGCGGGGCGGCGGGGGAAGATGAGCTGGTGAGAGCGGGGGGACACCGGGCACCGGGAACGGGAACCGGGAACGGGAACCGGGAACGGGAACGGGAACGGGGCAGGGACCAGGCACCGGGAACGGGCACCGGGAACGGGAACCGGGCAGGGAACGGGAACGGGAACGGGAGCTGGACAGGGACCGGGCACCGGGACTGGGCACCGGGACAGGGCGGGGGACACCGGGCACCGGGAACGGGAACGGGAGCTGGACAGGGACCGGGCACCGGGAACAGGCACCGGGCACCGGGCACCGGGAACGGGAGCTGGACAGGGACCGGGCACCGGGAATGGGAACCGGGACAGGGCACCGGGCACCGGGAACGGGAGCTGGACAGGGACCGGGCACCGGGCACCGGGACAGGGCACCGGGACAGGGCGGGGGGACCGGGACCGGGCACCGGGCGGGGGAACCGGGCACCGGGACCGGGCACCAGGACAGGGACAGGGCACCGGGACAGGGCAGGGGAACCGGGCACCAGGACCGGGCGGGGGAACCGGGACCGGGCGGGGGCACCGGCACCGGGAACAGGACAGGGACCGGGACCGGGACTGGGAGCGGGACAGGGACCGGCACCGTGCCAAGGCCGAGGAACCGGGACCCCCGGGGCACCGGGAGCGCCGGCACCGGGAGCAGGCCATGGCGGAGGAACCGGGACCAGGAGCGGGCAGGGCGAGGGAACCGGAGCCGCTGGCACCGGCCCGCCCGGTCCCGGCCCCTCACTTTGGGCACTGCGGGTGAGGAGCAGCGGGGCCGGGCCTCGGCCCGGTGGGAGCCCCGGTGGGAGCCCCGGTGCGGGCCTGGGAGCGGAGCCGGTGCTGCCGGGGCTCGGCCCGGTGCTGGCCCTGGCCAGGTTTGTCTCACTCCTGGTCGGGTTTGTCCCGGTCCTGGCCAGGTTTGTCATGGTTCTGGCCAGGTTTGTCTCACTCCTGGCCGGGTTTGCCCCAGTCCTGGTCAGGTTTGTCCTGGTCCTGGCCGGGTTTGTCTCACTCCTGGTCAGGTTTGCCCCAGTCCTAGCCAGGTTTGTTCTGGTCCTGGCCAGGTTTGTCTCACTCCTGGCCAGGTTTCTCCTGGTCCTGGCCAGGTTTGTCCCAGTCCTGGCCAGTTTTGTCATGGTTCTGGCCAGCCTTGTCCCAATCTGGTTTGTCTTGGTCCTGGTCAGGTTTGCCCCGGTCCTGGCCAGGTTTGTCTCACTCCTGGCCAGGTTTCTCCCGGTCCTAGCCAGGTTTGTTCTGGTCCTGTCCAGGTTTGTCTTGGTCCTGGCCGGGTTTGCCCCAGTCCTGGGCAGGTTTGTCCCAGTCCTGGCCGGGTTTGTCATGGTTCTGGCCAGCCTTGTCCCAGTCTGGTTTGTCTTGGTCCTGGCCAAGTTTGTCCCTGTCCTGGCCACGCTTGCCCCAGTCCTGGCCAGGTTTGTCCCGGTCCTGTCCAGGTTTGTTCTGATCCTGGCCAGGTTTGTCCCGGTTCTGGTCAGGTTTCTCCCAGTCCTGGCCAGGTTTGTCCCGGTCCTGGACGGGTTTGTCTCACTCCTGGCCGGGTTTGTCCTGGTCCTGGCCAGGTTTGTCATGATTCTGGCCAGCCTTGTCCCAATCTGGTTTGCCCCGGTCCTGGCCAGGTTTGTCTCACTCCTGGCCGGGTTTGCCCCGGTCCTGGCCAGGTTTGTCCCCTGTGGCTGTCCCTGTGCCACCCCACATGTGTGCCCCCCTCACAGCCTCCCCTGTGCCCCCCACACCCCCCTGTCCCTTCCCACCTCCCCTCCTCCCTGCCCAGGAGCTGCTGCAGGTTCATGGAGAATCCCCCAGTGTCCCACTGCCTCTGAGGTGCTGCAAAACCCCTTCAACTCCATGAAAAACTGAGTTTTCCTTTAAAAAAGAGCAAGGAAAAATTCCCATGTGTTTGAATCACACCGCTGAGGGCTCAGTTTGGACACGCTGCTTCCTTTGGTGCTTTTTTAATTTGAATTGTATTGGAAATCAATAACATGAGGAATTAATCCGGGCTGCTGTGTGTGATTTCTCATCCCAGGTAGTTCTGGAGATCCAGCCCTGTTGTGAGAGGCAAAGGATGGGGTGGGTCAGGAGCTAAAAGGGCTTTTCCTTGCCTGGCAGGTTGAGTTTTTGGGTTTGGAGCTGTGGAAGTTGTGGTTTGGAACTGTTACTGCGAGAGTGTAATGAGGCACACACAGGTGCTGATTAAAACTGGGCATTTGGGCTAAAAATACACTTTTATCCACTGGAATCACTTTGGTTTTGCTTTACTCAGAACAGCAACAATTACGGTCAGCACTGGCTAATGAGGTTTTGGAGCCAACTTTTCCCAGGGATTCTGAGGGAAGGACTGTGGAAGGACCTTCTGGCCAAAATGTGAGGAATAAATAATCCCTCCATGTGCTGGATGTGGAATAATTTGTGTGCAGCACTTCCACTTGCACTTCCCCACGTCCATCTGGCCCCGGGGACTGTCCCTTGTCACCACAACACACGGGGCTTTTTCTGGGAGCCCTTTTTCTGGGAGATCTGGTGTTTTCACCTCTTTCCAGAGAGGAATTTCAGGTCGTTGCCTGCCAGTTTTTGGCTGCCTTTTTTTACCTCTGTTGAGGTTGGGATTGAAGGTACTTGAGCTGATAGTTTATCAGGTGTTTATTATTTCTTATCAATGTTGCAGTCTCACAGCAGTGAGTTTTGTAGTCTTTCATTACCAAGGCACAAAATGGTTAAATATCTCTTGTCACAAGGTCTGTTATGGTTAAACTATCCAACTAAGAATGGTACCTAAATTATTTTCACTTTTAACCCAATAACTGATCCATTGAAGTCCACACTTGGACTTTCCTGTTCAATTACAAAATACCACCCAAACCCATGAAGAAGAAAGGAGAAGAAAGTAAAGAAGAATAAGCTGCCTCTGCCCTAAACCTCCATCTTGCTTCATATTTATTTCTCTTGGAATCTGAGGGTATTGGTGATTCTGAGACTGTAGAAAGTCTCTGTCTTTCTGCCCCGCTGCCAAAGCAGAAGCCATAATTGGTCTGTGCTGGTTCCAAGGTTGTTTATTCTGTTTATCTCTAACATGTTCTGCTGCCCTGCCGCAGCTCTGTCCTGCAGGGCAGCGTGTGGGGCTCTGCCCTCAGTGGGATGGTACAAACATTAAATACCACAAACTACCTGTGCTGGATTTACAATAACGTGCCAATATCTGTCACCTACGTTGGACAGTGTGTCCCCAGCCTGAACCAACAGAAAAATCCACAGTGAAACATGGAGGGCATGAAGAAGGAGAAAAAGGACAAGGCACACCCAATTTCCTCCATCTTGTCCCCTCTGAACCCCTAATCTAGAAATCTAAAATTTTACTTTTGCACCCGTGCCACACTTAATTATTGCTTATATCAAACACTCAGAGCTGGTAATTGATCCTGTAAGATTGAAAACTCTTTTCCATGGACAGAGATCACAGCCAGTGTCTCTGGGGGCTCTGTCCAGGGGGGTTCCTGACCCCTGCCAGGGTCCCAGGGCAGCCAGAGGGATTCCCTGGATTCCCACATATTTCTATATTCTAAAACCCCAAACTCTTTACGTTTTCCACCCTGTGATACCACACACTTCTAACCAACTCCACACCCATAATCCCAGCGCTCTCAATCAAAAATCTCAAATTTTCAGCATCCACAACTCCCAACAGTTGCCTGGGGAGTGGGGTGGGGAGGAACTCTGAGGAATTCTGAGTTTTCTTTCTTCTCCGGCCGCGTCACCCTCTGACGCACGCCGGGCTCGGAGCCCGCGGGGTTCCAGCGCCGTGGCGGCCACACAATCGCCCTCAGTCCATGCCCGGGGTGTGCCCTCCGTGCCCGCTGCTTCCTGGGGCTGCCCCATTCCCGGGCTGCCCCATTCCTGGGCTGCCCCTTTCCCGGGATCAATGGGGCCATTCACAGCGTGCAGGGCCCGGCGTGACGTCCGTGGCGGCGCTGACACACGTGGGGTCGTGGCCTGCTGCTGAAATGTCACAGCCAGGCACGGATGGAGAGCTTTGTTCAGCCCCTGGCTGCTTTGGGAATTGTTGGATTATACATGAATTACTGTGTGAACTTTCTGTCGAGCTTTAAAAATGCTCCGTGGGTTCATTGCATCTCTCTGACGATGGGTGCCGTTATTCCTGGGTTGATCCCTCTTTTTCCAGAGCTTGGATGCTGCAGCTGAGGAAGAGGATGGAGCTTCATCCTCAGCTTCTTCTTGCAGAGCTGGGAAGTGGCACAAACTGCCACTGTTTGAGCTCTTGAGCACTCGTATCCTTAATTTTTTAATGAGGGGAAGCCCCGGAGGTTTGAGGGCTGTTGGCAGGTTGGTGCTTTGTGGAGTGGCTGGAGTTAACCCTGAGGCATCCCTCGCTCCCCGAGTTCTCTGTGCTGCGGGAGGGCTGGGAACGCTCCCAGGAAGATGGGGTACGCTCCTGGAACGTGGTGGTCTCTCCCAGGAGCACGGGGAATGCTCCCTGGAACACTGGGAATGCTCCCTGGAACAGGAGAATCACTCCTGGAACACTGGGAATGCTCCCAGGAACATTGGGAATGCTCCCTGGAACATGGGGAATGTTCCCTGGAGCACAGGGAATACTCCCAGGAGCACAGGGAATGCTCCCTGGAACACTGGGAATGCTCCCAGGAACACAGGGAATGCTCCCTGGAACAGGAGGATCACTCCTGGAACACAGGGAATGCTCCCTGGAACACAGGAATGCTCCCAGGAACACAGGGAATGCTCCCTGGAACAGGAGGATCACTCCTGGAACATTGGGAATGCTCCCTGGAACACAGGGAATGCTCCCTGGAACAGGAGGATCGCTCCTGGAACACTGGGAATCCTCCCTGGAACAGGAGGATCACTCCTGGAACATGGGGAATGCTCCCTGGAACACTGGGAATACTCCCTGGAACACTGGGAATGCTCCCAGGAACAGGAGGATCACTCCTGGAACACTGGGAATGCTCCCTGGA